CCCACCCCCACCCCAGTACGTCCGACGGGAATGTGAGCATCCCTCCTCACCCCAGACCCTGCCTCCTCTGGCCCCTCCCTCACTGGCTCGCGGGTGATTACTGGGACTCAGCTCCCTGGTGTCTCCCACCAGCCAGGCCCCGGATCCACACGTGACCTGGGCATTTTCCCGTCCGGAGCGGGTAAGCGCACGCAGACGGTGGTTAGAGTCCAGAGTGACCGTTGGCAGCCTTTGCCACGGGCCTGGCCCTCGGAAAGACGCTGAGCGGAACTCGGCCTCCGTGCCTGGGACCAGGTTTCAACAGAAGGAGCCGCTTCGAACGAACGCAGTCACGGGGGCTTTTCAGGACAGGTGTGTTGTTGGTGCTTGGCAGCATGGTGGGAGCTCAGGGTTTGAAAGTTTTCCAAATTAGAACAGCAGCAAACAGCACAAAGAAGAAATAAGTGAACAATGGGCGCCAGAAACAAAAAATTACCATTTCTTTTCTTCTTTGGTTTTTTTTTTCTTTCCCTCAGAATAGTTTGTTTTATGTTGGTGCTGTGGTGGTGTCTGAGAGTAAATGCTACTGCAAGGCATTCCCTCTTTACTGGACATGGGGTTACAGAGGAGGGCCACAAACTCCCTTGCTAGGAGGCCTGGAAATGAGTGATGTGGATTGGGCGGTAGACAGTAGGGAGTGCTGGAGACTGGGGACCAGGATGGAGCATTCCCAGTTTCCACAGGGGGCACAGACCCAGTGTGGCTAAATCTTCTGGGTTTTAAAAGATTAACTGCAAATCGGATTCTTAAAAAAAACAATTTTTTAACAAAATGAGCTAACTGGGGCTTAGACAAGTGGCTTCAAGGAGCATTGTTAGCACCACGCTCAAACACTAGATTGCTAAGCAAACCCACCAGCTGCTCATGGGCGAAAGATGGGGCCATCTGCTTGTGTAAAGATTCATAGCCTGGGAAACCCTGCAGGCATCTGTCGCATAGGGTTCTTACTGGGTCAGAACAGACTTGATGGCAGTGGGTTTGGTTTGATTTCGTCTTTATGAGACACTGATGAGGCACAGAGGGAAGGCTTTTTATGCAGAAAGAGTTGAAGCCAGGCCCCCAGCACTGGAAGCCAGCACTCTTTCGAGTGGACCTTCCTTTTGGAGAATAACCAGACTTGCTCAGAGCTGGTCATTGGAGATAGTGAACCCTCGCCACTTCGCGCTTTGACTTCCGCGGCTTCACTCTATCGCGGTTTTTGCGTAACAGCGCATGCTCTGTCATTACTGCCACTGATTGGCTCATACTGTACCTACACGCTTCTGTCTGCATCGCTACGTATCGGAGCTACGTATCAGATGCATTTTTGCTTTTGTACAGTGTACTGTAATTGCGATTTTTAAGAAATGTTATCTAAGCCCTATGATGGCTCTTAAACGAGCTGCTTCTTCTAAGCCTTCTGACGATAAAAATAAGCGCCAGAGGAAGATGCTCACCATCCAGGAAAAGGTAAAACTTTTGGATATGATCAAAGATGGCAAGAAAATCGTGGAGGTTGCACGCCATTTCCACTTGAATGAGTCTTCCGTTTGCTCCATCCGTAAAGAGGAAAAAACCATCCGTGCTACGGCTACTTTCACTTTCAACAAGGAAGCAAAGCGCATCGTGACAAGTCGTAATAAGTTCATAGTAAAAACGAAGTCTGTCCTAGCCATTTGGATCAATGACAGGCGCAAGAAAAACATTCCGTTGGATTCGATAGTCATCCGGGAGAAGGCAAGGCAGCTCTATCAGCGTTTTACAGCAGACAAACCTCAACCAGAATCCTCTTCTGCAATCCTCTATGCTCTAACTACGAAAATATTTGATTTACAAATAAGGAATCCTACTTCGCGGAATTTCATTTATCACGGTAGGGTCTAGAACCGATTAACTGCGATAAACGAGGGTTCACTGTAGATACAGGAGCGCTCCGGCTTCTTGTGGGTTTGCAGGTCAAGATGCTGAACCTCATGATGCCTTCGCACTATCTACTGTTAGCAGAAGGGAGGAGAGGGAGAGACCGGGCTACAGGTAACACGGGAATAAGTACTGAAAAACACCACTGCCAATACATTGGAATTCCCTTCCTCCAACCACCTGCAGATACCAACCTGGATTCTCCATGCTGTGCACAAAAGCCTGCCAGCCCCGTGTGTGGCCTTGAACATCTCAAGCTGTTTTGGAGGGAAACCCAGACTCGTCTTCAGTGCTTCAGGGGATTTTCAGCCGATAAGGCCTCCCTTTCCTGGCAAATTACTCTCTCGGATGGGGTTGCGGTTTGTAGCAAGGTGGGGAACAGGAGGCCTTGGGAGGGGCCAGATGTAACAGCCCACATTCCACTTCACCTTTGGGTTCCTCAGATCAGCTTATCTTCTCTCAATCTGAAACTGAGGACCATCGCTGAGACACACGTACCTCCAGCAGAGATCTTCAAGGAGTTTTCAAGTTGTTTGAACCTTAAAAGTGTGGGGGTTCTTTTTCCTCCTCCTCTTCAAAAACCATTTGATTCAACTACCTGTTATGACAGATAAGGAACCAGAGACTTTCTTAGTAAAGTGATTCACTCAGGTTTACTCAGTTGGTAGCTTAGAGTCGCCAGCTTTCTAGTTCTGGGAAATACCTTCTTTTTTGTTGCTTTCTTACAACACCACGTTTGGCCACCAACACATGTCTCCGCGCTTCCTCACCCAGAATCTTTTGCCATTTTATTTCCAGCTTCATTTCGAATTTTCTAGACCGGAACCTGACTGTTCTATTAATATTCATTGAGTAATTTACTTCTTGTATAATCTTTGTGGGGAGATAGTCAAGAAATATCTATTGACCAGTTGTCAACAAGACCACTTTAGAGTGCTGAAAAGCCGGGAGGTGACTTTGAGGACAAAGGTGCGCCCGACCCAAGCCATGGCATTTTCAGTTGCCCCATATGCATGTGAAAGTTGGACCTTAAACAGAAGGACCGAAGAAGAAACACTGCATTTGAATTGCGGTGCTGGTGAGAAATATTGAAAGTACCGTGGACTGCCAAGAGAGCAAACAAACCTCGCTCAGAGGGAGGACAGCCTGAATGCTCCTTCCAGGCAAGGATGGCGAGACTTGGTCTCACGTCCTTTGGACGTGTTGTCCAGAGAGAGGAGGCCCTGGAGAAGGGGGAGCCTGCTAGGTAAGGTAGAGGGGCATCAAGAAGGAGGAAGGCCCTCACCAGGAGAGGGTGACCCCGTCTCCGCAGCGATGGCGTGGTGCAGGAGCAGGCAGCATCTGGGTCTGTTGTGCACAGGATGGCAGTGGTCCGACTGACTATCCCACAACCACACTTGTCAACACAAACTTCTGACACAGTGTAAACAGCCAATATGAATAGCCTTAGGTATATTCTTGAGACTATATTCAATAAATATTTATTGACAAATGGTCAATATTTAATGGTACACGCACAATAAATAGTCACTAATTGGCCTATGTACACTATGGGGAGATAGCTAATAAATACTTATTGACTAGTTGTCAACAAATACTTATTGACAGTATGTGTACAATAAATATTCTTGCCTCATTGACCCATGCATACCCCTGTTGAGATACTCAGTGTTTATTGACTACAAATATAAACATTTTCTTTGACAATAAATTGACCAGTGGGGCGGTGAGTTGGTGCTCGCCTGGAGGGCTAGCTTGTGTACCTTGGCGGCTGCCTTTTGCATTGTCTTAGGGATCAGTGAAGCGTTCTCAGTTTCCATGAGTTGGAACAGACTTGGTGGCAGTGAGTTTGGTTTTGGTTTTCTGGTGGAGAAACCTTGAACCAGGCGCCAGAGGCCACCCTTTCGACAGTAGACTGACTTGATAGAAGCGCAGACGCCTATTGATTAACACACGCATGCACACATGCACGCCTTCACCAGCATTGTCAAGGGACCATGCCAGTGTTTCCTCTGCTGCTGCCTCTCTTACTCTCAGCAACAACTGGCTGAACCTTCTTCTGTCTTCCTGCTGCTGGCTGCTGCCCATGGCCCCTGATTCACTCCCTGCAGATAACCATGCTCCCCACCCCTGCCCCTTGCCAAGAGCGTGGAAGAGGACCCCTCCCCTCCCCCTCCCCGACAACCAGCCTGCACGCGACTGCAGCCTGTCCTCATCCCTTGGGGAGCATTGCAGCTGTTCACCCATCAGTCCCTGTCACACCTGAGCTCACTGTCTGCATTGGCCACTCCTCAGGCCCTTTTGGCTCCCCAGTGTGTGCTCAGCATTGACCCCGGTTCCTTGTCC